GACGTGCCAAGTGGGTGACAAAAACAACAACAACTACTACTACTACTACTACTACTACTACAACAACAACAACTACTACTACTACTACTACTACTACTGCTGGTTCCATGAAGCATCATGAAGCCAATGTGTTCGGCCAGGGTTCCGTTCAGTTGCTGTTTGCGTCCATGAGCCGAAGAGGTGCCCAACTTGATCATTCTCAGGTTCGTTTCTTTCAGCACATACGTAGAAGATTGCGAACCCATTGCTGCAGGTTAGTTGTGCTGCTACTGTACAACACCCGGGAGTTGGCGGAGTTGAATTCCAACCATTTCCAACCCCTCCCATCCAAATGAGGGTTTCAAGTGCAAGGGCTGATTGCGTTGTTCTAACTTCTAACAACCCTCCGTGGTTAAAGATTCTAGGCCCTCTAGGCTAGGCCCCATTCTACTCGCAGGGGACTTCGTTACAGCATGAACCAGTCTCTGGGCCTTGAGACCCCCCCAGGATCAACTCAAAGAGCTGGCGCTCGGAGCCCTGCGGGATGGGATGTAGTGTAGTGGGATTTGGCCTTCGTTGGCACTATGTGTGCTGAGTTCAGCCGGAAGGGGCCATGTGACCCAGTGCTTGTAACTTGTGGGAGCAGAGGTCGGGTTGTAGAAGCGCTGATCAAGCGCCATCCGTGAGGCAACGCCGCGCTGCTGAAAGCGAAGGGTCCGAGGCCCATGAGGAGGCCCTTTCCCGCATCCTGCACCTTTCCGATAAGAGTTGCCGTATCGTGCATGGCCCGAAGAGCAACAACCGTTCCCGTCGCGACCTTTCATACATGGCCACAGTTTCTTGCACTGCAGGTAAACATGTTTCACCATTCGCTGTGTGCGCGGGCTGATACAGACTGCAGACTTTCTTTCACACGCCCGAAAGACCAGCTGCAGCTTTCTGCGGCTGCATGGTGGCAGGGAAGCTGTTACTCTTGAAGTCTTGGTGGTCTGCAGGTAACCTCAAAAAAGGATGACTGACTGGACCGGCGAGGGTACGCAGGCGCGGTCCAAAGTTGCGCAGCTGCCGGCCAGAGGTTTGATGAGCTCCTTCGAGTAAGCCTTGCGGTGTGAGGTCCACCGCTGCGATCGCTTGCGAAGTGGCCCGGAATGTGTTTAGATCCAAGGGCCGGCTTGTTGGTGCATGCGGCCTATATTGGCGCTTAGTTGTCAAAACTTCAACTGCATGTCACCCAGTGCGAATAAAACATCAGAGTACAGCCACGCAAAGCCGCTTATTTCTACAGCCTGGCAACTAGCATCAATTGCCATGGTAAGGTGCTCCGGTTAAGGGATAACTGCATGGGCCAAGAGGGGCGTGCTTTTAACCTTCGATATTCTTTGATCCAGCAATCCGGTGTAGTCCAAGGGTTAGCTCGAACCGAGGCCATGGGCTACATCGTGCATGAGATACAACACAGACTCGAAGCGGCGCTGGTGAGCGCGCACAGACGTTTGCGTTTGCCCGGCATATGCCTAAAAAGTCATACGCCTAGAAGTCAGTGTGCACACAACCATGGCTCATCGAGTTCAGAATAAACCTGCCAGCAGTCCAATCTGAGTTTCAATCTCAGCCCTCTCTCTGTGGACATTCCTGTCAGTCAGCTCACCCGACTCATTTGGGTAGTTGTCAAAATTATAGTCCCTTTTGGGGTACCCTAAATAATAGGTGCTCGAGCTTAGCACGCCTGCAGGGTGGGTCCAGGGGCTGGTAGTAGGGTAGGTAATAGGTAACCTTTAACCTTTTTGGGGTAGTACCATCCCTATATAACCCCTATATAACCCCAAAGGTTAACCTTTAGTTCCCCATGATACCCGACAAGTAAGGAAATGCATGCTCCGTAGTTCGAGTCTCTTCAGCGACAAGGCTGGCGGCATGACCAAGCATCCACGAACAGCTTGGGGTTGTCCTACTGCTGGCTTTCGGCTCGCTAGCAGTATTTCAGTGCACCGGATTTTGTGTTCGAGCTTTGTGTCTATATAAGCCATGGCCTCAGATCTGAGATCGCGGTTCAAAGTCCAAGGCTTTGGGGGGTGCGTAGGGCCTGTCTATCTCAGACCTCTAGGGGCTTGACACTGAGAGCCTTAGAGGCTGATGCTTTCAGCGATGCAGATGTTGAAGCTTCGACTGGACGTGGGCGGGATCTGCTGAGCCACGTAACTGCGAACTCTCCCACATGTGAGGTCGGACACCATGCCCAAGAACAAGCTTGGCGGAAACAAGGCCAAGCGTGCCAAGGCCATTCGCTTGGGCTCTGGAAGTTTAGGATTCGTCTTTGGGTTTCAGAGGCTGCAGGTACGGTGCTTTCCTTCTCTGGGAGGATAATTGCCTGGAGAAGCCTTTCTCAAGGCAACAGACCATGGGATCCACAAGACTAGCAATAGAATCAGTTGAAGCCACTGCGGAGTGCAGAATTGCTGCGGGCCTGTATTGTCTAAGAGGGGCTCAGGATAATTCCATTTGCAGTAAGGCACATTCTTAGATATTGCTCAGGAGTTGTGTGTGGGCATGCTGGTTGCAAGCAGGTCCTTACAAACCAAGGTTTCTTTTCTTGACAGGCGAGCACTGAGAATAACAAGAAGGAGCTGGAGTTCAAGGAGGATGGACAGGAGCTCCAGGGCAGATATTTCAAGGGTGGCAGTATACGAATAACCGTAGTCGTAGGAGTATCAAATACTTGTAATCGTGATAACGAATGATCAATGATAGTATCAACAATAATACTAAGAATAACAATAATACAAGTATTAGTGGTACTGTTAAAAATTAGAATAAAGAAATACAAATACCAATAGTGATAAAAATAGTATTAGAGCTGACTCGCCTGATGTCCTAATTCCCCATGCCTTTCGACGGTTAGAAGCCAGGGTTGTGATTTTTGTGGGCAGGAGTTGATTCACTCTGCCTTTCCACTCGCCATATACATCGGTGCTTGTGTGGCATCTGCCACTACTTACACAACCACCACCGCGAGCTATTCTTCCTGCCGCACGTACCTACCTGCACCAGTACCACCACCACCACCAACACCACCAGGCCCACTACTACTGCTGCTGCTGCTGCTGCTGCGATTGCCACAACGACTACGACCATTGCTGCTACTACTATATTACTGCTACTACTACTGCTGCTGCTGCTGCTACTACTCCTACTACTATTACTACTGCTACTACTACTACTACTACTACTACTACTACCACTTCTGCTACTACGCCGACGACGACGACGACTACTACTACTAACTGCTGTTGCTGCTGCTGCTTCTACAACCATGTTTTTTTTACATCATTACAATTGCTGCGGCTGCTGCTGCTGCTGGTATTGATTATGCTAGTACTAGGATGCCACTGCCGATGACGAGTGCTTGTTCTTGTCGTTCTTGAAACATGTTGTTTTGGTGGTGGTGGTGGTGGTGGTGGTGGTGGTGGTGGTGGTGGTGGTGTTGGTGGTGACTGCGGTGGTTAGTAGTGTTGCTCCTGCTTCCCTCCGATGCGGATTTTCATATGGTTTCTGTCAATGTTCTATGGCTAGGTTTAGGATTTAATCCGCCAGGCGCGACATGCAAGCCTGATGTAAAAAAACCACGTGTGTGTGCGTAGTCGTGTAGAATCACAACTCGCATTTGTTTGGTACTGTTGCTCCGGAGACTTGCACTACATGATCACACCCCTCGCAGTAGAAGGCATTCAACAGCCGTGTGCGCAGGAGTATGGTCAAATCACCCGCATGCTTGGAAACGGTCGCTGCGATGTGCAGTGCGTTGATGGCGTCAAGCGGCTCCACATCAGCACTTTGAGCGTCGTTTCTCATTCCCTTCCATATGTAAGCTGCATTCGCCGTCATGCGCAATAGCTTCCCGTTTGGGGCTTTATACTCGGTAGGTCTTACTTTGGCATGCTTGATGTTTATTGGATTCCAGCTTGGTTGGTGGATAACTGCGACGTACAGCATAACTTATGCATCCGTGCCTGCCCCGCTCGAGTGTGCGAGTCGGGTCACTTTGTTTAGCCCCCAAATACGGAACACCTCATATTGCCCCTGCCCCAGACATGTAACTAGGAAATGTGTGACGGTCATCCAAATCCTTTCTGGCATTGTGGGTTCGGGTGCGCCGGCTTCGTATTGAAAAGAAGACTTTTCTGACTTTGAGGTGCAGTTCTCGGGAAGTCAGAATCTTATTTCCTGCTTAATTGGGATACGGTATCGCGGCCTTGCCCGAGGTTGTGCCACATTCGCGGTACCTTGGCTGGAGATCTGTCGTGATTGCTCTCCACCATGCCCATGTTTCGAGCTCCACCTCCTCAACTTATTGGTGGTCTCATTTATGTCCACAACATGTGTTTACCCTGCTTGCGGCTTGCGATTGCTTTATTCGGCGCCGCATGTAGAATAATAAGAGATTCTGATCTAACGTGTTAGCTACGTATACAGGACGAAGGGTGCTTGGTCATGTCGTGAAAGAACCTATAAGCAAAACACATTAATCAAGTCGGCATATCGGAAACCGAGAACTCTTATATGTGAGCACAACCTGTAGAGCTCAAGCGACAGGCAAGATGAGGAAGAAGGTTTGGTGCAACCAGGGCGACATCGTCTTGGTTTCTCTGCGTGACTTCCAGGCGCAACTCTTTCCTTGTCAGCTATTGAAAAGGTGTTCATTAATTAACAGCGTTTGCTGTCGGGGTTCATCATATCCTATAGGAGTAACTCGCCCTCATTGTTCCCACTGCTGCACGTTACCCGCAGCTGACAAATCCTCAAGGCGCACGTCCTCAATCCACCCTTACAGAAATCCGTGCAGAGTAGAAACGAGAGCGTACAACACATCCGGACCTAATTCAAACGAACGCTGTGAAGCCGAAAGGCCGACCGAGGTTGAAGTCTGAGGCTAGATTGCCTAACTCTTTCGATGGCAAAGGGAGCTTGGGCTGGAGAGCATGGGTTTGGAGGGGAACACATGATTCTGTCAGTTTGTCTCCGAGGACTTCCTTGTGCGAAAAAGCAAGCAACTAGACAAGACTAGCTAGACCCAGTTCCCTGGCCCGGAACTCTGACGCCCAAGAACCTGAATCCGAGCCATTCCCAGCCCAAGTGTCACCATAATCCATGTCAGCGTCCGCCCTTTGAGAGGACGAAAAAGGCGACATCATCACGAAGTACACCGCCGAGGAGGCGCGAAGCTTGAAGAACTACGGCGAGTTGCCGGAGAACGCCGCTTGGATGTCTCTAAACTCCTCGTGCACCCATGTCAAGGTTCGGACCAGCTCATGTGCTAAAGTGTTGTGATTTCGATTGCCTGGAAGCCTGTAGTCGGCCGCTTCTGAGCGCAGAGCAGCAGTAGAAGTGAACAAACCATAGAGCCAGATGAGCGCAGGAGCCTTGAATGCTTTGACAAGTTATTCAAAACCTACTAGGGAATTGACTCCTCCTGCTGGTATATTGTGGGCATACTTCGTCATATCGAGTTGGATTCGTCCGAGTAGCCCTGAGCTGAATCAAGCCACCCGACCCACACGGCCAATACTTCCCACGCCAATTTCGGATCACACCTGCACACAATGCATGGCAAGCACAAAGGCCAATAGCAGTAATGTTGAGAGGACATTCAGCCCCTCTTGGCCTGGGATATGCAAGCCCCTCTGAACAGTTGGACGCGCATGATTCCTTCTGGCAGCAAGAAAAGAACACATGAACTACCAACAAACAGTATTTCTAAGTGCTAAGAGAGAGACTACATTGGCGATGACTCATGGCTCTGGGCCAAAATTCGAGAGTTGGAGAGAGGCGACACGGCCATGAGAAAAGAAACCGTTTCACGCGAGAGATGAATCCTGCTGCTAGACTCTCTGGATGCAACGGCAGAGAGAGAGGGAGAGAGAGAGAGAGAGATATTAACCCTGCACCGGGCAATCAGCAGTTCCGAGAACCAACATTCAAGGTAAGTACTCTTGCGAAGCCCAAAGCCCATGCGTAAGGTGAA